CAGGGGTACAGTATAGACAGAATTCCTGTCCATTGGCCTCTGTGGGAGGGGCAAACAGTCCACCTCTCTGGCTCAGCATCACACTCAAGAACAGTGATCATCTTAGGAGAGCAACTGTAAGGGACAAGACACAGGAGGAACGGTTATACCACAGCAGGGGAACTCGGAAGCCATAAGAGAGTACAAGAAACATCCAGGGATTAGCAAAAGCAGCAGCAGCAAAGAGACAGAGCATGCTCTCTCTCCGGAGTACGAGCGTATCGACTGGGACCATCTCCACAGGAAACGCCCTGCACATCAAGCATTCCCTACTTTTTTTTAAATTTTCAAATCGTTTCCTACCTTTTCCTCACCACACCCCACACACCCCTATGTCTCCCACACCCCACAGAAAGGGGTTTGCACCCTGCATGTCTCACCTGGTCCTTCCATCCCATCACACCACACACTGTATGCATCCTCACTCACACACACAATCACACACCACCGCGAAGCTAAAAACGCCATTTCACCTGACTGCATGACTTACAAAGCAGTTAATATTCCTATGTTACACAGCTGTGTTGTCTTACAAAGTAACTTATTCAAGAGCTCAATGGCTGCTGTCCACAGTTTCCTCCCATAATTCGTAATATTTTATTTAAGGCCATGTTTTTAGTAACTTATAACCACATGCATAACAAATAATAATGCAATCATGAAGCATTACAAACATGCCTATAAATATATATCAAAAGGCATACATTACAGTCATGTGTATTAAGCATTATGAATGCTTTATGAAGCTCTGATCTATAATGCACTATAGATAACTTTATAGTGCATTACAATGGTAGGTATAAGCATTAAGAAAGCTTTGTACTGCTTTAAAAAGGTATATGGAGTGTATTATAGATGGGAGCTTCATAAGGCTGTCATAATGCATCATAAACACGGCTATAATGTGTTATGCCTATAAATATCTATAGACATGTTTATAATGCTTTTTGAAGTCAAGTATTACCCATATTTCTTGTATGTATTTTGTTGCTTTCACTTATATTTATATTTATTTATATATATTATACTTACATTTTCACTGTATTAGACTCTGTGGTACACCTCACTCCTAAAATGTTGTGTAGGCAGGGACTGCAGTCCTCTGACATACTTGTAGCCAAGTAGATCAGTTTTGGGTCACGTGACAATGCACTACAAGGGCTATTTCTGACTCCGAAGGGTGCCGTCTTTTTCAATGTTTTTAGTTACAGCTACAGATTTGGATTCAGATGTTGCCCTTGAAGTCTGTCCCTCACAGGTGGCAGCTACACTGGGCATCTGTAGTAAACTGAGACTCAGCTCGCTATCATTATTTACATTAATTTATTTGGGGGAGTCAGGACTGGTCTCTGCTCTGCCCTGTCCTGTCTGTCATTTCTCTGTTTGGCCAGCTAGTGTCACTGAGCATCCCATTCTGTCTTCCTGTAGTTGTTTCCTTAGGTTTAGAACCTTTCATAGGTCCTAGTACAGATGCAGCCACCTCAATATTCCCCTCCAAGCCGGCTGCCTGCCGGCTGCCTGCCAAAAGCCAGCCAAAGGGAGTAACCCCCCTCCTTCTGGGGGTGTGCCTAAATTCTCGTCTAAACCCACCCATTTATTCACTTGCAGGGTGTTACCATGAGATGGCGCTTTCTTTACAAAAACACATTTTAGTTGTGGTCACAAGTTTACATACACAAGTACCACAGGTATCAACCAGAATCATTTGGTAGCCATTAGCAAGCTTCTGGCATAATTGTGGCTGAATATCTTCCGCTGCTGTCTGGGCTGCTGCAGGACTAAATGGGCTAAGCGGACACCTCCGAACCAAGCTACTCCACAAGCCTCACCTTTTGACATTTTCTGTTCATGTGCCCTGGTTTCTTTTGTGAATATCTTGTCAATTATGTGTTCTTGTATCTGTTTGGATTCTTGCTTTGTACCTTTAGTTATCCTTGATTATATGACTCTTTTATTGTATTGTCTGTACCCATGTTTCTCGAATCCCCAAGTGTTTGAATACTTAGTGTCTTTTAATTGCCCTCACCTGTTCCTGTAGCTCATAATGCATACCTGTAGTTAGTAATGGCCCACACCTAACCCTCATCATATATCCATGTATTTAAATGTCTTTGCTGTCTTACTCAGTTGGTCATTGTGTTTGTTCCTGTGTATGTGTCCCTGCTTGTACATGACTTTATATGTTCTTGTATGTACTTCTTTGTGTTTCATTCCTGCGTTTTTCATTGCCATGCGCCCCAAATGTGTTTGGTGTCGCTTTGTCCTTCATGTTTAGCTTAGCCCTTGTTAGTTCTTGTTCCACTCTACTGCCTTTGTTTGATCCCTTGTGGTCCCTTTTGTTTCAAGTCATTGACTTCAGTTTATGATAAAGTTCCCTTTGTGTCTGTAAGCCGCATTCAGGATTGTCTTTTCATCATGCTGTGTTATAAAAAGGGGGGTTACTCCAACGGACAAAGAGCATGAACACATGTGTACATGGTAACCTTGCAGCCTGAGTGAGGTACAAAGGTAGCAGCCCTTTCTAACTTAAGTTAAAGCTGTATTCTGTGTGTTCATTAAATGAACGAATCTGGGGGGAGCACTGCTTGTGAAAGCCCTTGGGGATGCAGTGGCATCACAAATAAACACTAAGCCTTGGCTTCGAGGGATCATTAGCAGAAGAGAGCATAACCTTATTTCAACATCTCAGTTCCATGGTAATGCTGCGCCAGTCAATGAAATGTGCAGCGATGCAGAAAGTCCAGCTCAACAATCTGGCTCAAAAGCCGCCTTTCTCCCCCCATGCTGGTTTTACATGTCAAAGAGAAAAAGAGCTGACGTCTTTCAAGCCAGAATGTTTGCCAAGCATCCTGAAGGGACAATGGAATTTTGGCAAATGCATCCCTCGGGTATCTTGCTGCAAACAGTGACGAAACCAGCAATGTTTTTTTTTCCATTAAGTAATAAAAGGGAGATTATGCGTGGAGGGACGAGCTATTTGGCACGACAGAAATGACCCTTGAATCATGCGAGTTTCTCCTGATGTCGAGTGACCCCATCTTCTGGTTCTGCACGCTCCACACGATGCCCTCAGCGGTTCCTCGAGTCCCTTTCAAACTGGATGCACAGCAGTGGTCTGAAACTCAAGGAAGCCACAACGCCAGAATGATGGCATGGTGGTTGAGGAAAAAGAAACCCAGCTCTCCATTTTTACACTTTCCAGATGTTTACTGGAATCGGGTGATTATATAGTAAGAGGGGAAAGAACATTATTGCGCCATCAAAAACAAAAACACAGTAAAATACTAACAGGATTACAATATCATCAGGAGCACTGGAATGCATTCTCCCAGTGGAATGTTCCCCATCGTGCACAACATAATCATCGGAGCTGTGATTTAACTGGTCTGGGGTGAAGTGCTTTGTCCATACAGTAAATGTTCTAATGTAGAATTTGACTTTTCCACTTGCATTCAGGGGCACAAACTGTTATATCCGTCCTCATCTCTAATGTATAAAAGTGAAGTCTTGAGTTGTTCTCAAGGTTCTTCATTAACAAGTATTTTATCTCTTTCATACCCTAAAGCCACCTTAAAATATTAAAACATGTTCCATCAGTCTGCTTTGTTCTTTCATATTTGTGTACTTTTTCACTGTCTGTATTTTCTTGTCTTACCTTGCACAAACCATTTTAAAATGTTCTTTATAACTTATTTAGCCACATCATATGTATAGTTCACTTAAGTATTTCATTACTGTTCATTGTTTTTCTTACGTGATGACTTGAACCTGGAATCTTACTTAGCTATATATTATGATCTTAGTCTGCATTATTCCGAATAAGGTTAGCGTCAATGTATTTTGAGCAATACTGAGCAAAATAAGAAATAACTTTACCAGCATATTATATGACCTATTTTAAATTAGTCATTTCTTTCCTCAACTTATCTTCAAGCACATAATGTAACAACTAAATGCATATGAAAACATAAAGATCCACTGTCCTTTACTGGATTCAGTGTTGTGAGATAATTTGGGTACACATATACACCCGGGATCTGTTGTAAGAGTAGATGCGTATTTTTACTGAAAAACAATAGAATGAAAAATGCGTTTGATAAAATATGGGGGAACATATCTGATGGCTGAAGTCTAAAAGATTGCTAAAAGATTGAGCAATAGTTAAATAGCAGGAATCTAATTCCCTAAAGCATTTTTTTTAAAGTAAGCGCGGCGATTGTTAGCATTGACGTTCCATCGTAACTCCAGAAAGCACTGCAGCATTTAGTCAGCTCTGCAAGATATCATACTGGACTGATGAAATTATTCGTAGCTTCTACAATAATCGTTTGCATAATGTCCATTGAAGACACAACATATTATTCAATTTTAATGGTAAACGGCAAATACATAATTTTGTTTAAATATAAAAATTTGAAATGACAATAGTTATAGGTGAAATTGTACCTTTCATTTTACTTGTCAACATGTGAATAAGAAAGAAACTTTAAGCGAATTAAATATTCGTAAAATCAGATAAAAAAGGCAATCCTTAACTATAATGTATATGGTGCAAAAAAACGTCGCTCGGGCGATTGCTGTGTCGACCATGATTAGCCAAAAGAAAACACAATACCATTAACGGTTGTAGTCTGGAGCTTTCAAGGAATCGATTAACTTAAAAATAGAAAGCTTTAAAATCCAAACAATGGTCAAATTACTTTCTGAAATAACACTACATTTTCAAGAAAAAACACACAATTTGATCGCGATATTAATTATAAATTATGAATACTGTTTCACATAGTTTTATGCCATAGTTCGCTGTTTATATTACCTAGATACAGACATGTATCCAAGATCATGGATTTTATCAGTGTATTCTTATTGTGTAATTCTTCTGCTTTAAAGAGTACTTTTCGAAACACTCCAAAATCGCCAATTGACCACTATAAATGATTATGCATGATCTCCGCGCCTTTGCTACGTACAGTCACTTCTAATCATTCCGAAGAAGACTTGAGTTGGGGAGGAAGCTAAGCAGCGCGGCTTAAGCCTGACGGCATCTGTCAGGTCGTAAAGTAGCCTCCGCCTGTCTGACAGTTTGTCGAACCGTAGTTTCTACCATGCTGTCGTCACAAGCACGCAATTTATAAAGGTTAGCCTATGGTAACTGTAGTGTTTATCGTTAGATCTTTACAAAGAACGCGTTTATTAACTGCAATCCGGATTGTATAAAAGGGGCGTTCTGCTTGCAGGATCCTTACTTTTCCTCCGTCCACTGCAATCATGAGAGGTGCAATGTCTGTGACTTTCAGAGTACACTTATGTTTTTTCCTGCTGAGCTTGTATGTTCTCAAGGGACAGAGTCGATACCTGGAGGTAAGACTGCTAAGGTGCTCTTCCTTCTTTGTGTCATATTTTTTTCCACCTACTAAACTTTATTTATATGTATGTTTATTGATATAATTGTTACTTCCATACACACGAATTTTAAATGTATATATGTTTATACACACATATACATACTCATATATGTATATGAATATATTTAAACAAACATAAAATACATATTTGTATGTAAGGAAGGCAGTAGACTGCGTTCTACTCCATTAAATTCGCCTTCCTTCGCTGTTGATTTCATGCTCAGATTGTGGGATTCGTTTATCGGCATGAAGGTGTCATTGATAATGTGGGCTGAATTATTAATTTTTAAACTAAATTACTTTCAGTGCTTGTTTACTATGTATACTCTCAGGAGCACGAGATTACTCCAGAACGAGTATTATCTCTACTGAACTCGGAACTCAAAAGGGAATTGTCTGACGAATTTGTTTACCGTCGACCTTTACGTAAGTAGGTCTAAGCAATATATATTGTGCAAGATGTTTTACGCTATATTCAAATATATTTTACTCGTCAGGTCTACGAGTGACTTTTTAAAGGACGCTCGATACAGGATGAGCGCAGATGGATGTACAGTTCTAATCATCATATACATACCGATACTTTCACAATTATACAAGGCAAGGAGAAGCTGCTGATATGGAGACTGTAGGCCAGTTGAATTACTTGCCCGCCTGGTCCACTCAAATTAACAGACCTGTAAGACTTGTTTCTGTTCATACTTTAATCTAATGAAAAGTATCAGGGATATTTGCTTCAGAGCGCATGCACGCTCATACAAGGACTCTTTAAAATAGTCGCTAGTTGGTGTGTTTTAAAGCAAGAGAATTTAAATAGTTTTTGCTCTATTTTGTAAGACATAGACTAAAAGCATTTGAATAATATATATTCAGCGACATCACTCTTAAAACACTTAATAACATCCACATTTTTAAACATGCTGTGCTTTTGCCATGAACACTCGAGCAAAACTTTCTTTAGGCTGACTTTGTCATATTTATGTAAAATGTATTATAATAATTAGCTTTTTGCTGTACAGTCAAACTACTAAGCAACCCCAAAAAGTAAAGTGTATCATTTTGCTTGGCCTGTTCATTGTGTTGCATGTACAATGTAATGTAACGAGTGTTCGCTGTTCCCTGTTTTAGGATGCCTGGACATGCTGGTCGTGGAGGGACAGTTCACTTTCATGGCCGACCGGCCGCAGCTCAGCTGCGCTGCCTTCTTCATCGGCGAGCCCAATGAGCTGATCAGCATCCAGTATGACGCCGCCAACATTGACTGTGCGGGTGGGGATTTCATAAAGGTAGCCGTGATATGGCCTCTTGCCCTTGCTTGCCGTGGTTTCTCTATCCGCTTTCCCCGAGACCTCCTACTATAGCTTGTTAATCCCAGACCTGCAGAAAGAAGCCTGAACACAGGGTAATCCTTTAGTGAACCTCCTGGACTCAGCACACTTTATCTGCATGCTTAGCAACTCAGCTAACAATTCAACAATACAAATAAAGTACATTTCTTTCTTTCTTTCTTTCTTTCTTTCGTAATCATTTTACTCATAATGTACTGTATATTTTGTCATGCTTTACTGCACAACAAATACCTTGTATATTTGTACCCAATAACGCACTAAGCATTGTGGAATTTTTTTATTGATACTTTTAGATTTTATGTTTAGTATATTTTTTTAATATTCTGTATAGTTTCAATTGTAATTTATATAATTTTATGTAGCACGGTCTGTGGACCTGCCAAAATAAGCATTTCACTGTGTGTTGTACAAGTATGACTGCACGTGACAAATAAAAAGAAATTGACTTTGACTTATAATGCAGCAAGTTCAGTAAGTTCACCCATCAGTTTATCCTCATCCAGTATATCTTCCATGCAGATATTTGACGGCTGGGTCCTTAAAGGAGAGAAGTTTCCCAGTTCCCAAGACCACCCTTACCCTCTCTATGAGCGCTACGTGGACTACTGCACAACTGGCTCCTCCCGGAGAGTGATCCGCTCCTCTCAGAACGTGGCCATGATCTTCTTCCGCATACACAGTGCTGGGAGCGGATTCACCATTACAGTGACCAAACTCATCAACCCCTTTCGTGAGTGTGCCTAGGGGATATCTGCGGTCAACATACGGAGTACACTGACCTTAAGTCAGTACACACGGAGTACACTGACCACAGGTGTAACAAAAGGCCCAAATGTAAACTTCTTTTTAGGAAACTGAAAGCCCTGTAAGCTTCTTCTTAATAATCTGTCACTTTTTTTCGCTAAAATATTTGAAGTCAAACAACTTTCCTTTACAGTCTAATTAATTTTTCTTTGTGTATCTATTTGACACTGTTTTATGTAAAGGTTTTTCTTTCGACCTTTCTTAGTTTGTAATAAGAGAACATTTAAAAAATGTTTCAAGTGAGTAACAATAATAATAACTATGGTGGTGACTTGCAATATTGTTGCATGGTGTCATGATAAAAATAAGCAGTTATAATACACTTAAGTTAATCTTTAAGTAAAAAAATGAGAGGACTTTCACAGAAGATACTTTGAGATATACATACCCTCCTAACTACAAAAGACAAAGCAATGTTTCTTTATTCCACAAATTCAGCATGCATGCCATGGTATTAAAATTAACATTTTCCTGTGTGCCTGCTTTCCCACAGCTTGCAATGTTATTTCCCAGACCCCAGAGGGCAGCTTCACAATGGTGATCCCCCAGCAACACAAGAACTGTAGCTTCTCCATCATATACCCTGTCGAGATCCAGATAGCTGAGCTCAGCCTGGGAAACCTAAATGATGTCTCTCTGAAGGTGAGAGCATTCATTGTTGTGCCTCGAATGCACTGAAGACGCAGCGTCATGTAGCAAGTTTCTTCCATAGAAAGAATCAAACCTATCAAATTATCCTGATTGTGAAACAGTAAATGTCCTCCATGCAGCTGCAAAGGAACCATCCTAAACATTTCCCATCCTAAACATTTCCCGTTTGGCATTTATGTCTTTTTCACTTTTTCACAAGTTAACAATAACCTTCAGTTCCATGTTGGCTACATTAAGGAATCCTCTTCCTCTTGCACTATTGCTTTTGTAGAATGTAATTGATCCATTTTGTGTAACCAGTTGTCCTATCACAGAATATAAATATGTTTTCAGTTGTTTTTCTTAAATTTAATATTTTACTCTTTTATTTTAAATGACTTTGGTAATGTTGAATCATATATTGTTAAAAAATAGTAAATAATTTGATGTTGCGTAGCCTTGTGCTTCTAAAGGAGTTCACAAGGGTGTAGGTTTGTTTTAAACACCAGTAGCGACCAAATTGGCGCCAAACCGCCTAAAAACACACAGTACTCCCACAATATTGGTAGACATGTCCCTACCATCCATACCCAAATCTACACCCTTGATTACTGCAGTGCCTTTTGGGTATGCCATTTCAGAGGTCTCCCTGGGGGTGTGCGGGAACTGGGGACTTTGTGGAGCTTCTCAGGGGCAACGGCATGGATACCTCCAAAATGGTTCCTGTGGCTGATCTCTGCTACTCCTTCAGTGGGCCTGGTGAGTATAATCTCTCACGAGCAGGTGCACAGCACTTATATGACGAAACCTCAACAGGTGTTCCTCTCCTTAACCTTTTGGCTCTCTCAGAAAGGCTTTTTAGTACAAAAGCTTTTTGTGAGATTGCTAATCCTTACAATTAAACCAATTCCCCGTTCCTCAATGTTTCTTCATTGTTGTCTTATTTTTTTTGGTACGTTAAGTTCCAGTCTGTGGGAGGAATGCTAGATAAATGGCTTTGATTTTCATATTGGAAAGAAAAAAACATTCTTACCATAGTTTAAAAATGGCTTTAAGGCTTCCCCTGTCTTCATTTTTATTTAGCTCAAATGAAGATTGGATGCGATAACACTGTGTTGAGAATGGTGTCCAGCGGGAAATTCGTCAACCGTGTCACTTTTCAGTACCGTCTTCTGCATCAACACGAACTTGAGAAGCTCAGAGGAAACAACCTGGAGGACTTCTGTGATATGGAATAATTTTTTTTTTGGTTTACCAAGGAGATTCTCTGAACACCAAATAAGAATGTGACTGAAGTGGGGATACAAAATTATGTTGAGAAACATATTTATTTATTGCTGTTACTTATTTCTTTGGCTTTCATTTTCTGCTATGTAAATTATCTGATGTAGGCTCAATAAAATATTATTTTGGTTCTGTCTGCATTATAACATTATTTGACATTTTATTATATGATATATAAGTATATAATGAAATCATCCAAAATATTTATTAAAAGAATTTGCATAAATGATATACTTCAAAATCCTTATATTGAATTTTCAATGGTCTGTTTCTTTAGTAAAGCGTAGTCTATAAAAATCACAATTCAAGAAACATACAAATTCCCATCAAAACAATCGCAGTATGTAAAACGTTAATTATGTTTATTTATTTGTACCAAACGTTTTTAATAAAACTGAATTGCATGACAATGCATTCTCCAAAGCTTATAATTCCATAAAGTGACTGCTCAGGATAAATAAAATAATTTAAATTATACCATATAACATGAAGATAAAGGCACTGTAAATTAATTAAATTTTATATTTAATGATGTTTTAACTTAAAGTCTTTCAGTAAATGCATTCAAATAATTAAATTTTTCACTGAAATAAAGGGTTTCAATGAAATTAAAGTTTGAAATGAATAATATTTAAATAATTAGGAATGATATAAAATAGAGTGCATCCTAAATTACATAAAAAGAAACAAAATATATTTACTCTATATTACAGAAAGCACAAAGAAATTTACTGGACATAGTAATGATTCAAAAAACTTTGCTGTGTATTGCTTAATTGTGATGATAGTGATACATTGAAAGATTTGCATTATCTCTGGCATAACTGAAAGCGATGATAAAGGAAAGAGAGGCACGTCAAGAAGTCACGCTGATGACAAATGTGAACCTTAACAAGCGGAATTAGCAGCTTTTGTGCAAAGGCAACATCCGCTCAGCGTGGGATTTAGCATGACTGATCTATTCACCATGTTTCATACATGCACTTCTATTAAATGGGAGGTGAAGCAGTGTTAATGTTTCTTGTGTGGCTGCGAGAGACCGAAATATCTCCTTCACATCATCATGCTATCTAATGCACTGAGAACTTCAGCCATACAAACTCAGTCCGGCGAGGGTCACATCCTGCTGTTGTAATAGTCAAGACATTTTTTTTTTTATATAAAATGTTAGCAGAGCCATTTTTAAGGCTGGATAACTGGTAAAATTCTTATAATAAGAAATTATACACACTATTGTTATCCTTAAACCAGAAGAAAAAAAATGTATGTATGTTATCTATGTAAACGTATGCATATGTATGTTGATCCAATAGTAGTCTGACAGCACACATATACAGCAGCTTAACATAAAATGTCCTTCTCCTTATATTGGTTTCCACATAAACTGCCAATAAAAATGAAAAACTGTCTGTAAAACTGTCAGCAAAAAATTCAAACCAAAGTGGGGTCTCTTTGTGTGTTTTTAATAGAAAAATTACATGCTGCAAGATGAAGAATGCCTAATTAAAGGTTGGATACATGATACACGTGGCAGAAACATCAGCTAGCGTTTCAGTAAAACGTGCCGATTGCCCACATTCCTGCTTTCTGCAGCGAGGCATCCCTTATTTAAATAGTAATTGCTGGCATGCTGAGCCACGCTGTTTCATTACAGAGAAAAGGCCTGGAACACCTGCACAGAGCTGATCATCTACATCAAGCACACCGTTAAGTGACTGGTTTGAAATGACAGTGTTTCCTGCCTTAATATTCATAGATTGCATGAACTCTACAGCTGGAAGCCACCTGTCACTCAGAAAGTTCTGCCTCATTTTATAGCATTGCAGACAAAAAAACAAGTTTAAGGAACCATAATATAAAGGCATTTTCCATCAGCACTGAGTTGGTAATGTACCTAGAGTCTATCCCAAGGAGCAGAGATCAAAGGAACACCACAGGCTGCTTGGAAGTTATACCCTGATGGCTCGCCGGACCATGTCACACTCACGCAAGTAATAGAGAACATGTTTCCTGAATATTAAAAATGAAAGACGTCTAAGGGAATGATTATGACCTGCTGCAGCTATAATCTATGCATTTCTGGGCTCTGCACAAAGTCCTGCTTCAAAACCCCTGTTACTATATAGAATTCTCAGAACTTTGTTTTGCATTATTTCTATAAAAACCTTTCAAGCTCACCTCTCACACAGTGAAGAGATATTGGGTTTTTTTGCTGTAGATCTCTGTAGATCTCTTTTGATGTAGATCTCCCAAATAGAATTACCTCGCAGTCTCTGCTCCCTCTGGGCTTATTTGCACTTACCTCTTGGTAACTCTTGTTTAATTTAAATTTGAACCCTTTGAAACAATTTCCTGCCAATCTAATTATGCTGATGCAATTAAATGACAACCTTCTCTTACCCCTAATATTTTTCTAATTGTACTAAAGTACTGTCAAAAATAACGAGCTGCTTTTCAAAATCCACTGTGAGGATGACATCCAAGTAAGAAAGTCAGTGCCTTTTTAAATCGATCTTTGAGTAATTTCCTGAGCCTCTATAGACTTGCACATATTTCCCAAAATGTAACTCTGTTACAGTCTTGATAAGGAACATTTAGTGATGTGAGATGGTTTGCCAAGGTTTGAAGGGGTAGTAGTTGATTTTTAAATTTTAATTTAGCATTACAGACAGACTGTGGCTTAGTAAGTTTCACATTACACAGTTTAGTACACTGCTGTTGAAGAGGTGACATGTGCACCTTGATATGGTAAATAGCCAATGGTTAGATCTTTGATGGTCAATGTGATGCAGTCCAAGGGGACCTTGATACTCACAGGTAACAAGAACTAGAGAATGGAGAGGAGACAGAAATAACCACATTAAGAAGCCAAACCTGATGACGATTGAGTCATCATCATCATCATGAGTCATCATCATCATCATTTTTCCAGTGCTTTCCTGTAGATGGTTGCAGTGGCAGCATGCTGAGCAGGTTAGGTCGGGCCCAACATCTTAGTCCATGGCCATAGACTCAAGTTCATTCTGTGGGATCCCTTATTGATCCCAAACCAGTTTGGAAACATAATCCCTCCAGCTTGTCGTAGGTCTTCCCCAGAGCCTCTGCCCAGTGGGACATGCCTGGAACCGTTCCCTTGGAAGGCATCCAAGTGGCAAGATTACGTTAGCTAATAGATGTTAGCTGATTCATCACAATTTGAAGGAGCAATGAATCTATTTTGAGTTCCCACTAGAAGTTCTAATCCTCGTGGCGGGTCCTCAAAATTTTCTTACTTGACAATATCCTCAGACTCAGTTCTTCCATGCCCAAGGTTTCGTCTTTGCAGCTGCCTTTGCTGTAGCCTTTCTGGCCTGTTTGTACCTTCCAGCTCAGAAAATACCTTCTCAGAATACCCCCATTCAAGCATTGACCCAACGAACACTATCTTCAGCTTGACAGCGTTCCCCACCACAGGTTCTAGGGTTACTTTCATAACAGGTGCGGCTGGCTTCTGGCTAAAACTCTTTGGAGTCTCTGCAATGATTAAGTCTGTGAACATAGTGCAACTAGACTCAATGTTCCTGACCAGATAATATGACTATAAAGCTGATCATTGACCTTTGGCCTAGGGTGCTCTTATACTACGAACGTTTACAATGACAATAAAAAGTCTTGAAGTCTTGAAGTTTAGGAACATCCTTCTATGTGAACATGATGTTTATTATGAACAATCCATGACTTATTCTAAAGTTCAATAATAAATCATGGCTCCAGTTTTGACCTGGTAGTCCATTCTTCCCAATGATGCTGCTCCAGGTATCTCCATTGTTCCCCATGTAAGCGCTGAAATCTCCCAGTAGGTCCACATGTATGCGATACTTGAAATGTCATACAATTTCAAGTACCTTATCTATGTTGTCTTAGAAGGCTGGGTGCAGCATAATAGAATAGAATAGAATAGAATAGAATAGAATAGAATAGAATACCTTTATTGTCATCCCAAAGGAAGCAAGTACAATGAAATTTTGATCTTTGCTTATTGTATCTTGCTCTACTATGAGACACACACAGACATGTATAGTCTAGTGAAGTTTCAGGTCAGAACACAAGGTCAGCCTGTTTTCACACACACTTTAGAAAATTTCACTGATAACACATAATTCCTGTGTCTAATTGTGGGTCAACTTAGAGCTAATGCATATCCCTGCATGAAATACCTGGTTGTTCGGTTGACTTTTTTCTGTAAAAAATGTAAATGGGTCTACAAAGTCTATAAAGCAAAAGAATATAAAATATACATGGGTTATTAAACAGAACAACTTCATCAGAGTGGATTTCCTGCAATTATATAAATCATGCAAATTTACGTGACAGGAAACCCGTTACATTAATTATATTAATCTTTACTTTCAAGTAACATGTCATTGAATGTTTGTAGTTACTGCAGATTCAACATGCTGTGATTCGGCATCCTGACAGAAATCTGTCGCACATCAGCAGGGGACAATCAGCACCACCTCTCAGTAACCATAGTTTCTGCACATAACAGCAGTGTCAACATGGCATAGTTGGTAACTGATAATTGCTGCGACCAGGGGATGGAGCAGCTTCACTTCACTTCCCTTCACTTCACTTCAGTAAAACCTGCAGAATAGCTGCCAGATCCCAGCAGCCAGTGCTCCTGGCCATAGTGAGTGATGGAGGCCGACCAGCAAACTGAGGTCAATGCCACTGTTGATAGCCCCTATGCTGACCTTTTCCAGCAGATATTACACATGGGGTGGTTTACCAATGAGCAATGGCAGGATGACCACCTCATATACTGTGAGGAAGAGCTCCATGTAGTTAATGGGGGAGCAGACTTTCCCTGGCCACCTCCCCAGGAGCGATTTCCTGGTCTGGAGAGGCGAACAGAAGGACCTATTGGTAGTGTTGTGGAGCTAGGTGGATGTGGTCATGGGGTTGGGCCACTACCATCCTATGACTGGGGACCTAGGAGGTCATAACACAAAGGAGTGAATCTGGAACTTCTCCTATTAGCGAGGAACAAACATTGCTAGCAAAGACTTCTGCTGGTGAATCCATGTGTGCCAGTGGACAACTCCCCATCTGTCACCTCTTTCTCATTGAGGATCCCTTTAAGTGAGTCAGCCTGATCTTGGTGGTG